GAGATTTTGGGCTAGTTTACTCCTTCAATACGTATGTGTTCTTTAAAGCTGCTATAAAGAAAACGTTGAAAATATACATTAAGATGTTTATTTTATTACATTTTGTTTACTTGCGGCAGTAAGTTTCTCCCGAATTTAGCAAGAAGTTAGCGTTCCAACGCGTCACGCCGCGCTCCGTCTGTTTACTGAAGTCTGATTTAGTAGGGTGAAGGGTGATTTAAAGCTAATGACGAAATCTCATTGGCCACTGCTGGTTTCTGCTAACGTGATTGGCTCAGACGCATCACATGGTGTACTCTGCCAATGTTAACTCATTGAGTTACTGCAGTTGTAGGCCTTATATGCCTGCCATGTTATTAAATAATCCGTTTTCATGAGCTTGAAATATTATAGGATCTGAGCATTTATTCTGATTTTGAGCAATGTTTTCCAATAGAAATGTATCAAATTCCCTACTTAAATCTTTAAATGCCTTTTTCTCAAAATGAGTTAGTACAAACATCTCAGCTATGTACACCAAACTCTCCAGTTATACACTTAGCAGTATTCTGATGATATTTCCAGAGGGATTTGTTAATAAATCATTCCTGGCCTGATTTATGTGACATTTTAATAAAAAAAATATGGCGAAAATAGATTTTTTAAGGCTATGGACAGTATATTTTGATTTCCTAGGTAATGAAAGCATATATCCTGAAATCCCTCTGAACTTTTTTTTCCATCTTGTGTGTAAACAAAATGAAAAAAGAATTTTGCACCTGGCTCTATCATATGTTCAGATCTATCTACCGAAAATATATGCAAAATTGCGCATATTTAATGAGATAATGCCTAATTTGCATAATTAAACATACAAATTTTAAAAACTTGTAATACATTTTTTTCTATATACTTGTGTAAGTAATCAACTGAGGAAGTTTCATGGTGATATCTATTATTTTAATTTTTTACCCTATTCACCTGTAGTGTCTCGCCTTGAAAAACAAAAGAAAACAGACATTCACCATGATTAAAGGAAAGGCACACTAAATAATAAAATGGTTAGGTTGTAACCTGCTGTTAACTTTGAGCAGTGCTGGAAGAAACAGCTCTGATGTTAACCACCAATCAATATCTAATGACCATCTCGATAAGACACCACACACCACCTTATGTTTCCCATGTCCTTTTGTGCAATTAACGGTTAAAACACAGTGTGCGTAGACAAAAAGTAGGCACGCACAATGACATCGTGTCTCCACGAGCCGAACTGTGAGGCCTGCCGGTAACGACCACTTGTTTTCCCTGTCTCAGCGTCTACCAGACACCTCAGAGACATCTCCAACGCTGCAAAAATAGGCAAGATACTTGATATTCTCCCAGCTAACCACTGCGGAGATGGTCATTTTTTAAAGAACTGTTGTGCAAGCCTGCCACTGTCTAAAAGACACAGGGCTGAGGGGGCAGTAAAGCACTGCGTTCAGCCAGAGGGAAGGTGTGATGATGCCTTATTATTCTACAACACGTCTCCTCGCTTCATATCTCTCCATTTTTGCTTGGTTCGCTCTGCTGTTTGGGAAGTACAGCAAGGGCGGCGAGCTTCCTTTGGGGGAAAAACGAGGATCATTTCCCTTTATACAGGCATTGATATTACACTCCTCACACCACTTGACCCATGACTTCTTCCTGTTCTCTACAATCCTCTAAATCTATTCTTCATCTCCTCACTCTTGTTTTAACAATTAAGTGCTCTTAGAAGTCTCCGTACATCCATTAATGCATGAATCTACAGGGAAGGGAATGTGAGCGAGAGAAAAAAAAGAGTCGACATTGTGAAAAAAAAACATGGTTATGGGAGGAAGCCACAACTAATTTGAAGGGTTTTTAAACGTGTAGATAAACAAATGTTGAAAATAGCTGTGAAGTTCGTCCATTCAGCCAGCAGAAGTCAAGGGGACTTAATTTGAACAGCTCTCCCTGGCTTGCTTGATATGAGGTGCATGCTCTATTTATGCAATTCACACCCTTAAAATCCCCCTGGATGTTTCCTTCCTGGAAGAGTGAATTTGGGCAGAGAGAAAAATGTGATGATGGCACAAAACGTGCAACTAAACTTATAGCAAAGATTTTCAGAAAATGTGTGCTTGAACACCACTATAAGAACATCCACAAGTCACCCACTGTAGCCAACTAACACATTAAAGAGGACTCTTTTTACAAGATGTAATATAAGTCTAAGGTGTGCCCAGAGTGTGTCTGTGAAGTTTCTTCAGTTCTACATCATCATGAAAGGTTATTATCTGCATGCATTTTAAAGCCATTTCAGCCTAAACTTCTGATTTGTGGTTTTCAGAGCGCACACAGAGCTGAGTGTATTAAACTAATTGTGCTTAAACTGTCAAAAACACACAGTTCACATAAACACAGCCGGTTATGTCTGTGAACAAGTAAAGAAATCGCATAAGTATTAAAGCGAAAGCAGCGTAATATACAGTTCCTAGTTGCTGTTAATATGAATCAAACAGCAAAACCACTCCCTGCTCTTGACTAAATAACTCAAGAATACATTTCTTGAATGCTGCTGGAGAGAAGATGAATATGACGGACTGTGTGGAGCACAATCAGGGCGGGGTCTATGCTAATAGGGCGGAGTCTGTCAGACATCGTGGGCGGGGCCTAAGCATTTGTGATGTCACATTGCATAGAAACTGAAAATGGCTTGTTCTGAGACACTGCTTATGATTTATGGGGATTAAAAAAAAAGAGTGGTTGGATTTTTACCATTATAGGCTGGCTGTGTACACACACTGCCGACACACATTTATGTTCAAACACTATGTAAAAGTTACACCTAAAACCACGAAACAAGTCAGCATTTTTGAACTTCCAATTCCATCACCCCAAAGTAAATGTGTTTTGGTTATATGCCTGAAATAAAGTCTGTTGTTAACACAAGATCAAGATGTTTGCATGTTTCATTCAATTTCTAAATTCATCTGTCACAAACTGTGGCTGCACAAAGCAGGAGAGTTGAACAAAAACGGTATTTCATTATTAGTCTTCCAAGGAACATTCTTTTTAACTTAGCTTTTAGTTAAGGGTATATTGTAGTAATCACTTATTTTTATTTATTTTTTATTTAGTTTTCTTTCTCTCCACACTGATCTCACTATACAGTTGTGTGAGGGGTATGTCTAAGAGTGTGTAGTCTTCATTTGCTCGGGAAATGTTTTATTGTTTTTAGTTATAACTGTGAAGCACTTTGGGCAACAACGTCGCTATTAAATGTGCTATATGAACAAATAAAAAGCTGAAGTTGAAGAAAACAAATCGGATCCATGAACGGACAGAACTAAGGGTTTGAATACACAGGGAGACATAATGATTGACAGCAGGTGAATGTAATCAGTAACCAAGGGAACAAATTAGGGATTAATCAGGACTAAACTGAACTCTGACAACAGCAGTAACAGCCCACTTGATATTTTAAGCTTTTAAGTGTCTTGAAAAAGGCTGTTTCTAACAAATTTTGTGTTTATATATCAATATGGCTACGAAATAATAATAATAATTATATTCATATTTTTTTATTACTAGATAAAAACATAATAAGTACTAAAAAACACAATAAGAAATATTATTATTTCTATTACTATTGAAATATTACTATTACTACACTATTACTATTGTAACATTAGGCCTAACTTTTATTTAAATACCACTATTGTAATATTTCTTTGTAAAATAAAACTGAGAATTTAAGAAATATAATAATCATTTTATTTTACTTTAAAATACAATTATAAAATTACAATTCGACCATTTATGGCTGCCTTAATTTACTCATTTTCAACTGGTAAAATCACCAAACTTTTATTTTGACGGAAAAACAGCAACAAAAAAAATTAAATTGCATGCAATTTGGTAATCACACTAATCCATAGGACCAGTGTTTAAAAGCAAAGTATCACATCACTCCTCAATAAATGCAGATCATCAGTGTGACGTCCTTAGGAGCTTGTATAAGGGCAAGCACCAGCGTATTACTGCTCATATTCTGTGTCCTTGTCACGAATACACACTTCCGTCCTGAAACCGCTGGCCCGGAGCTGTGTGCGCTGCAGCATTGCAAATGTGTCTCAATTGTACAATAATATTGATCAGTGAGACATAACAAGCGCTTTATAAGCCTCATGGAGTCCATCAAGCAGGATTGGCTATACACCTATTTTCAGAGCAATTTGTAATTTGTTTTAGGACGATAATATGGAGGTTTGGAGATGGAGATGATTATGAAGAGACAAGCAGTCTGGAAGAGGGGTGAAAAGTCATTTAATATGTGCAATGAAATCATTGTCAAGTGTGAAGGGTTCGCATATTGACAACGGTGTTAGAATCTTTATTTAACACACAGCTGAAGTCTAAACTATTTAAGTGACCATTTTAGGCATATTACAGGCTCATTCCAGCTGGAGTAAGCATCTTGATCATGGACACAATGGTGAGAGGTCCAGGATCAACCCTTGCAGGATTTAAAGGGAACCTACTATGCTCTTATTCAAAGTCTTGATTATGTTTTTGGGATCTTCTAGAATAGGTATTTATTCATGCTTGAATGTTAAACACATTATTTTTCTCATATTCTCCATTGTTGCGGCTCCTCTCTCCCCAGTCAGCCAATGTAACTTTGCAGACCTTTTCATGCTCAAAGAGCAACATTACACCCTGAAGAATAAGCATAAAAGGACCCGTTTAACCCACATTGCTGCTACCACTTGAGATCTTGAACACCTACATTACACCATCCTCCCCATCTTTACACCAGGCTTTTCTCAGGAAATCGAGTCTCATGGCATCATGATGTATGACCATCCCCGAGCATCAGACAACAGATGAAGCCACTGATGAGTCGGGGTTGGGATTAGCCAACTACAAGTCTAGCGAAGCGAACAAAGTCTAGCTGCCACCAGACAACGTCCAATTTTATTATAGCCATAGGTGCATCCGTTAGTATGTGTTACCTGAGTGCGGAGGATTTCTCCTTTGGTCAGCTGCATGTCTCCCGTCAGCTCTTTGACAGCGATTCCCAGAGGCTCCAATCGCTTACTGAAGTAATTAGTCATCTCAGCAGCCAGGGCCTTCATAGGAGCAACGTATACAATCTATAGAGGCAAGAAAGAGAGACAGGACAAGCTCATGATAAATGAGAAAACACCAGAGTACCATTTGTTCCCTGGCAACCAGTACAAATAACAATTTACAAAGAAATATGAAGCTGGCTGCTTAAAGTACGAGTTTAATGGTGATGTATGAAGACTGTCTATCATCGTTGAAGCTGACATGCACGCATGTGAAAATGCGCTTCACGAGACAATGCATCCGTTTACATCTCCAAACTGTGGTGAAGCTTCTTGACACATATTTAATGCTCAAGTCTATCCTTGCTTGACATAAACTAAACAAACAGGTTGTGCAGTACGTGACGCTGGTGCGGAAATGAGTTATTGGCTGCCAGAAAGCCAATAGCTCACTCAACAATATAGTCTCTGTGAGTGTGTGTTTACCTTAAACTGGTCCTTGCGTATGACTCCCCCGGGCTGCAGGTGCTGGCGGATCTCGTGTAGGACCGTGAGCATGGCAATGTTGGTTTTGCCGGCACCGGTGGGCGCGCAGATGAGCAGGTTTTCATTGGTGTTGTAAGCGGTCTCGAACACTATAGACTGGATTCTGTTCAACTTCTTCATGCCCTTGAACACCAACTGGCCAATCTGCAAACACACAAGAAAAATGTCAATGGTCCGTAGGGGTGTATCGACACCCTCATGTCACGACTCGATACATATCACGATACTGAACTCATGATACGCTAATAGTGCGATACTGCAAGACATATGATAAAAGGTTAACAAAAAAGGTACTGTTGATTAAAATGCTACATTTGGTTTTACAGTGTGTGTGTAAATGAATCGGCTTGGACTGCTGATAAGCCAAAGCACAGGACAATAGAGACACCAGAATAACATATTCATGATTCTGAAGCTGAAAATACTGAATTATTTTAGACTTATATGCTTGATCTCTCTCACTGACTAGATAAATAATGTAGGACACTTTTTACTGGTAACACAAAACATTTGGCATTATCAGGACCCACTAATATTCCCCCACTGCATTATTATACATTATATTCAACATTATATATAGTAGTTAACTGTAGTGCTGACACTTAAACTCTGAAAACTTGATATTTTTCTCACACAGTAATTTTAATTTTGGGTGATCTATACACGATACACATTGTTGCATTTTGTATTGTGATATATTGTTACACCCCTAATGGTCCGTTGACAACTAGATCTTGGTCTTGAGATCTCAAAACACCAAGTACCTGTTTAATGTAGCGTGCAAGAGGTTGAAGACAGTAAGTGTGTGTGCAGCAGATGTGGTGTGATGGAGACACATATGGTCAGAGTGACAGGGCACCAGGAGCCATAACTTAATGAAGCCATTTTAATCCACAGCTAATGAGCAACTCCGGTCTCCAACAAGGCAATCTTCAGTGACTTTACCTAAACTAATCAATCACCAAACACCAGAGTCAAAGAATACTGAACATAAAGCAGTGCTGAGAGAAAATGAGATACTTTACTGATGCAGTCCGATCAAGTGCTTCTCCATGAGTGACTGTTGGGACTTTATGCATGGCTGAGCGTGTACGGAGAGCTCAAACATTAAAACCTTGCAAAAGGCCACCAGGACTTACGGAGGGGGGAAATCTCAGAGCAGTGTCAGGAGCTGTCAATCAATCCGCCCACTCTGTCCAGCTCTGCAGTGACATCACACTGGGTTTCTCTATCTCACTGGTACTCTAGCACTACTGCTGCAATATCATATACATAACTATGTTTTCAGTGGTGTATAAAGACCTTACATAATGAACCATTATGTTTGTATTATCAGAACACCGCGGGTCCCCTTACATTGAAATGGCCATTTTGCGCCGACATGTTTCCACAGTAGCCCTAAAAGGACAAATGTGTTTCGTCACTATGTTGTTCTTCGTGCCAACTAGCTAGCTAAAGTCAGCGAATAAAGCACTGACACAATGATGAACAAGTCACAATAATATTCGCAATAACATATCGTTTTACTGAATAATCAAGTAAACCTAATTTCTTCATATATCTTTGTAAAGAAACCTCATTGCTTAACTGGCTCCTCTCTGCTGTCTCAGACGACGACATCACTTCCTGTCGGCCACCGTAACTTCTGTTGGGTGCAATTCACAACCTCACCACTAGATGCCTCTAAAATTACACAGTGCACCTTTAAAGTAGAGCAGAAAGTTATGACTTTATTCAATCAAAAATGGGACAGGAAAGTACAAAAATCTAATCAAAGCACATCGAGTAAAACAAATCTAGAAACGTTCCTCTGCATCCCTCATTCATGCATCTGTGTCTTGGATCAGGGGATCAGGATTCATTAACAATGCTCTCGGTCTCTCTTTTACCGTTCTGCTCTGGCACACTTTAAATTAAAAGAAAAACAATTAGGCTGAGAGAGTTATTATAGGGCTCTGATCTGATTTAAAATCAGGACTGAAAAGCCAAATGGAAGGGATTATTAATAGCCGAAAGCCGCTTCAAAGCACAGCAGTGAAGATGTGACTGCATTAGGATCGTTTGAAAGGTGGACAGAAAAGCTCTGGAATGTTTTGCAGTGGTAAACTTCATTACAACAGTTAAGAGTTGTGGACTTCCTATGCCTCCATCTATGAAGTCTACAAGAATAAAAGGTGTCATGCATGTCATTTTAAAATGAGAAGTCACCTCTTCTATAAAAATGTATCCATCTATTTTGTAAATGCATTACAGATCTTATTGTGAACAATCCGTGCCTACATTTCATTTTTGTTTGTTGGTTTGTTAGTTGGGTTGATGGTTTGTTGGGTTGTTGGTTTGTTGGGTTGATGGTTTGTTGGGTTGTTGGTTTGTTGGGTTGATGGTTTGTTGGGTTGATGGTTTGTTAGGTTGATGGTTTGTTGATTTGTTGGTTTGATAGTTTGATGGTTTGATGGTTTGTTGGGTTGATGGTTTGTTAGGTTGATGGTTTGTTGGTTTGTTGGTTTGATAGTTTGATGGTTTGATGGTTTGTTGGGTTGATGGTTTGATGGTTTGTTGGTTTGATGGTTTGTTGGTTTGTTGGTTTGATGGTTTGTTGGTTTGTTTGTTTGTTGGGTTGATGGTTTGTTGGGTTGATGGTTTGTTGGGTTGATGGTTTGTTGGATTGTAGGTTTGATGGTTTGTTGGTTTGATGGTTTGTTGGTTTGATGGTTTATTAGTTTGTGGGTTTGATGGTTTGTTGGTTAGATGGTTTGTTGGTTTGATGGTTTGATGGTTTGATGGTTTGTTGGTTTGTTGGTTTGATGGCTTGTTGGGTTGATGGTTTGTTGGGTTGATGGTTTGTTGGGTTGATGGTTTGATGGTTTGATGGTTTGTTGGTTTGTTGGTTTGATGGCTTGTTGGGTTGATGGTTTGTTGGTTTGATGGTTTGTGGGTTTGATGGTTTGATGGTTTGATGGTTTGTTGGTTTGATGGCTTGTTGGGTTGATGGTTTGTTGGGTTGATGGTTTGTTGGGTTGATGGTTTGATGGTTTGATGGTTTGTTGGTTTGTTGGTTTGATGGCTTGTTGGGTTGATGGTTTCTTGGTTTGATGGTTTGTTGGGTTGATGGTTTGATGGTTTGTTGGTTTGATGGTTTGTTGGGTTGATGGTTTGATGGTTTGTTGGGTTGTTGGTTTGATGGTTTGTTGGTTTGATGGTTTGTTGGTTTGTTGGGTTGATGGTTTGATGGTTTGTTGGTTTGATGGGTTGATGGTTTGTTGGGTTGTTGGTTTGTTGGTTTGATGGTTTGTTGGTTTGTTGGTTTGATGGTTTGTTGGTTTGATGGTTTGTTGGTTTGTTGGTTTGTTGGTTTGATGGTTTGTTGGTTTGATGGTTTGTTGGTTTGATGGTTTGTTGGTTTGATGGTTTGTTGGTTTGATGGTTTGTTGGTTTGATGGTTTGATGGTTTGTTGGTTTGATGGTTTGTTGGTTTGATGGTTTGTTGGTTTGATGGTTTGTTGGTTTGTTGGTTTGATAGTTTGTTGGTTTGATGGTTTGTTGGTTTGATGGTTTGTTGGTTTGTTGGTTTGTTGGTTTGATGGTTTGTTGGTTTGATGGTTTGTTGGTTTGATGGTTTGTTGGTTTGATGGTTTGATGGTTTGTTGGTTTGATGGTATGTTGGTTTGATGGTTTGTTGGTTTGATGGTTTGATGGTTTGTTGGTTTGTTGGTTTGATAGTTTGTTGGTTTGATGGTTTGTTGGTTTGATGGTTTGTTGGGTTGATGGTTTGTTGGGTTGTTGGTTTGTTGGTTTGATGGTTTGTTGGTTTGATGGTTTGTTGGTTTGTTGGTCTGATGGTTTGTTGGTTTAATGGTTTGATGGTTTGTTGGTTTGATAGTTTGATAGTTAGATGGTTTGATGGTTTCTTGGTTTGATGGTTTCTTGGTTTGATGGTTTCTTGGTTTGATGGTTTGTTGGTTTGTTGGTTTGATGGTTTGTTGGTTTGTTGGTTTGACGGTTTGTTGGTTTGATGGTTTGATGGTTTGTTGGTTTGATGGTTTGTTGGTTTGATGGTTTGTTGGTTTAATGGTTTGATGGTTTGATGGTTTGTTGGTTTGATAGTTTTTTGGTTTCTTGGTTTGATGGTTTCTTGGTTTGTTGGTTTGATGGTTTGTTGGTTTGATGGTTTGTTGGTTTGTTGGTTTGATGGTTTGTTGGTTTGTTGGTTTGATGGTTTGTTAGTTTGATGGTTTGATGGTTTGATGGTTTGTTGGTTTGATGGTTTGTTGGTTTGATGGTTTGTTGGTTTAATGGTTTGATGGTTTGATGGTTTGTTGGTTTGATAGTTTGATAGTTTTTTGGTTTCTTGGTTTGATGGTTTGTTGGTTTGATGGTTTGTTGGTTTGATGGTTTCTTGGTTTGATGGTTTCTTGGCAGCCGAAAAGTGATTTCAGAGGTGGACCAAGTTGTTACATTTTGATGAAAGATTACAACTACGCCAATTGGGATATTGTATTCTTGTAGAGTACTGCAATCAAGACCTCAGCTAAAAATATATATATATATAGAATATGAATAGAATACACAAATCAGCCAATTACAAGGTTACATTTCAGTTCCTGCCTTAAAAGGAAGACAGGCAAGGCAGCTCACACTAGGTTTTGTAACGGAGATCAACTTCATCAGCTTTAATGGCCCAATTGAAGCCAATTACAAAAAAAGCTTCCAGAAAGCTGTTAGCGCTTCATTGGAGGTTGGTGATTCCATATAACATCACCTTCAGCTGAGTGCCACGTGTTCTCGAAAAAACGGGACAAGGCGCATCAGCCACAGCTGGTCCGACCCGTTATATTCCCAGGGTTGGTCTTCAGAGGACTAACTTATAAATATTCATAGGTAATTAGGAGCTCTCCTCCTATCCGACTGAACGGTTGTATCACCACGGTAACCAAACCGCTGCACTTGTTTTAAGAGCCCCCTTCATTTTGATTTATCAGCTTTGTCTGTAAAGGACTGCCAGTGTCCCCGCACACCTTAAACATGCAAATGAATGCAAATGTATGCGTGCCCCAACATTCACCTCGAAGTAACGCGTACATGTAGCAAATATGGAGTTGTCATTACTTAATGATCTCGGAAAATGTCTCGCATTTGGTCATTTC